TTAAATGTAAATATTAAGGAATGAAAGACGATGACGAATAAAGTCGATTATTATTACTATCAGTTAAAAAGAGGTATATTTCAAAAAAAGTATGAGTTTTCGTATAAAGATGAAGATGAAGTAGAAAGCAAAAATTTTTATCCTCTAGAAAAGTCTGGTACATTGAACTTCAAAGAAATCCGTTCAAAATTCGAAAACAATAAGTCTTCAACCAGTTTATCGTAAATTGACCTCTATTGAGCCGTATTGCAATCGACTTTACGGATCTTTTCATCGTTGAATGCGTATCTGTACCTCAATGTAGATGATAATCTGCGCTTTTCAGAACCTCTCAACCTGAAAATCCATTAAATAACTGGTCAGAGCTTGACTTACAACAAGTGTGCATCGAAATTAAAAATCAAGTCCCGCTCTTCACCCTCGACGAGCGTAACTGTAGTCTTTCGATACCAACAAAAAAAAACTAAATAACGAACTTCGCTATAGGAAACTCGCAAAATCTCTTCGGCCACCGAAGCATTAAATTGGAAATCCATGATCCAAGGTAAACCACTTCGATCAAAGATAACGAAATAGATTCCGAACAAGTGCTTATGATGCTATTATGTCTTGTAACAATAGACGAACTCGCCTACTATGCAGTTGCAACACTTCATTTTTACCAAGGGAAATATCACATTATCATTATCGCAATAGACAAAGGGGCGTCACGCCATGACTAGTACTTCTGCTATTTGGTCCTTCCCTGCCGGACCGGAGATGGAAAAGGATACTGGACGGAAAGTATTCAATTTTTCGAAGTCGTTCATGAATGTATTTTCATCGGGTTCCCTACTGATGTTTTGAGCCATAGAGGACCAGAATGATAGAAAGCTGGCTTGACATAAAACATCATATGCCAGAATACTTGTTCATATGACAGGATGCTGCATATGCCTTGATCTTTGTTTTTCATATGCCAGGATACTTGTTGTTCATATTCCAGGTTACTTGTTCATATGCCAAAATAATTGTTCTTTTTTTGAAATATGTTCATAGCGGGTTTCCTATCGATGTTTTGGTCTATAGATGATCAAAATAATTAAAAGCTACATTACCATAGAACATCATATGCAAGGATTCTTGTTATTAATATGCCAGGATACTTATCGTTCATACGACAGGATGCTTGTTTTTTATATGCCAAGATACTTATTGTTCATATGTCAAGATACTTGTTACTCATATGCCAAAATATATGTTCATATTTCAAGATACTTGTTGCTCATATGCCAGGATGATTGTTAATATTTCAGGATATTTGTAGTCCATATGTCAGGATACTTGTTGTTCATATGAAAGGATACTTGTCGTTTATATGCCAGCATTCTTGTTCATATTCCGTGAAATTTATTGTTTATATGCCAGAATACTTGTTGCTGATATGCCAGGATTCTTATTTATATCTCTGTATATTTGTTATTCATTTGCCAGGATAATTGTTGCTCAATTGCCAGAAAACTTGTTCGTATGCCAGGATACTTGTTCTTCTAAAATATGTTTACAGTGGATTATTCAAAACTACATAAACATAGAACATCCACCTTCAAACAAACATAGAACGTCATATCAAATCAATCAAAAATCAAATCAAAATTTATTCAATTCAGTTTAATATAAAATATAAACTCTTACAACTTACATCTATGAAGGATCGTGGCTATCTAAGCCAAGCTTGTTTTATAGCCACGAATCCAATACAAACAATACATTTACAAACTAAGATGAACCTACTAAATAGTTCAGGAAAGTCCTAGAAAGACGACCAAAATGATGAGCAGTCTTTTAGCATAACTAGAGCATCAAATACGAATGCCAGGATATGCAAGGATACTTGTTATAATTATGTCAAGATACTTGTTATAATTATGTCAAGATACTTGTTATTCATATGACAGGATGATTGTTGTTCATATGCCAAGATACTTGCTGCTCATACATGTTCATATTCAGTCCAATGTCTATATGCTAAGAGACCTGTTGTTCATATGAAAGGATAGTTGTCGTTCATATGCCAGGATTATTTTTTATATTCAATGGAACTTGTTGATATGTTAGGATACTTGTGATTCTTATGCCAGGATAATTGTTGCTCATATGCCATAAAACTTGTTTATATGGCAGAATACTTTTTGTTCTACTAAAATATGTTACAGCGGTTTCCTACCGTAGTTTTGGCCATAGAGAATAAAATATTTATGTTAAAAAAACGATTTGAAATCCATTTTTTTGTTAACCAGCAATCCCCCCTACGAACAACAACTCTCAAAAGTCGAAACTTGTGCGAGCTAAGTACTAATGAGTTCTTACCTTTAAACGTCTGATTTCTAACAGAAAAAGCTACATTAAGCTTAATAAAACATCATATAATAGAATACATATGCCATAATATGCTGAAATCGTCATGTATGCTCTACTATACTCCGTTTACCAAAAATATTTGATGAAAAAATGAATTGATTGATGTAGCTGTAGCTACGTTGTAGTAGATCATCATGTTTTTAACCACTTTCATAAAAGTGGTAGGAAACATGGAACGTTTCATTTCTCATTTTTCATAATGAAATAATTTTTAGTGCTCACTTGACATAATGTAACTCTACCAATAACATACAGAGTGGTCCAACGAAAAGTATGCACCTTGCTTTTCCCTTTTTTTTGTAACTTAACGCAAAAATGCTCGGACAGGTCAATTTTGCTTTCGAGGGGGACACATTTCAGATGTATTTTTCTACCTGTGCCTTCAACCCCCTAGCGAGGGTGAGTAACAACCCTAAAATTTTAAATAGAAAGTGGGGTCGAGTGATATATCATTTGAAAGGGCACAAAATTATCTTTCCAATGATACCTAATTTGTTGTATTTCACTCAAACATATAGGTATTATTAAGAAAAACAACTACAACCCAGTACTTTGAAATGTGTAATTGACTTAGTAGAATTCTACTTCAGCAAGTGCTGAAAATGTGACCCATTTGCTTCCATACAATAATAAAGATTTTGTTCAAATCTATTCCTAACATTCTGTAGCATATCAGGTGTTATACTTCTGCACTCTGCTGTAATTCGTTGGCGAAGATCTTCTATGGGCTCGGGCTGCGTAGCAAAACATTTATTTTTCAAGTGTTCCCAAAGGAAAAAGTCTAAAGGCGATAAATCAGGTGACCTGGCAGGCCATTGATGGGGCCTCTCCTTCCAATCCACCGTCCAGGAAACCGGTCATCTAAAAACTCTCTTACCGGAGCAACATAGTGAGGAGGTGCTCCATCTTGCTGGAAATAAAGCCAATCATCATTATGATTTTGGTCATTTTCAATTATTTCTGTTATAAGAGGATCAATTGTATCTTCAAGCATGTTCAGGTAGACCTCACCAGTTAAATTCCCAGGAATAAAAAGTGGCCCTACGATATGACTACCTAATATGCCACACCAGATTGAATTTTTGAGGGTACTGGGTATGGACCTCTCGGAATAAGTGTGGGTTACTGTCATCCCAGTAACGGCAATTATGCCTATTCACAGCTCCATTAAAAAAATGTACTCTTATCGGAAAAGCACGTGTTGATTGATAGGTGCGGATCATTAATTAGTAGCTGGCTCAGTTGTTCACAAAATTGCAGCCTTCTATCAGGATCATCTTCATTGAGTTCCTGTACTAATTTAATTTGGTACGGATGAAATTTATAGGCTTTTGATATCCGTATTATGGACGAACGGGAGACACCTGAGGCTGCAGCAAGCTGACGGGTACTTTGAGTATGATCCAATTCAACATGTCCCAAAACCGCGACTTCCACTGCTTCATTTCTGATCGGTTTCCGTGGCTGGTGTTTCACATTACAGACAGATCCGGTATCGACAAACTTTTGGACTAACTTGGCAATGTACGAATCATTCACATTTTTCCCGGGATGACTGTTATTAAAGAGGCGAGCAGTAAGTCTAGCAACTCGTTCAGGAATGGAATAAACCATTTTTACTGTAAAGTTGAAATAATTTCAAAAGCAACCGAACTGAATCAATGAACGTTTGCCTAAATTATTTTTGTACACTTATCTGCTGTTGTTATTTGAACCAAAAAACGCACGAGAGAAATCGAGGAATGTAGTAGTGATAAAAATGCCGTTTTTCCGCATTTTCATTAACACCAAAAATATCGAGTAAATGTTCTTGCTTTTTTTATAACTATTCAAGTAAATACAACAAATTAGGTATCATTGGAAGGAAAATTGTGTGCTTTTTCAAATGATATATCACTCGACCCCACTTTCCATTTAAAATTTCAGTTGTTGTTACTCACCCTCGCTAGGGGGTTGAAGGCACAGGTAGAAAAATACATCTAAAATGTATCCTCCTCAAAAGCAAAATTGACCTGTCCGATCATGTTTGCGTTAAGTTACAAACAAAGAAGAAAAGCAAGGTGCATACTTTTCGTTGGACCACTCGATATGGATTGCTCTGAATGATATTATTTGTATATATTGCAATGCGCAGTTTTAAAATTGATGATCAACTAAAAAATAGGTATGAGATGTAAACTGGTAGCTGAACACCTAGCTCCTACCAAGGCACAATTATTGGCTACACATTGACTATGAACAGACCCATATGGTCTGGTGAGACATTGCAGAAAATTGAATTATCGTTCTTCTTACCAGAAAAGTTATTATAAGTAAGTTCTCATGTAGACCTGCCAGTTTCCAATCTGTTGAAAAACTGTCGATACCATAAAAGGAGTTTTTAAGGTGGAATACATTAGCATTTTGAGTCCTTTGGCATTTATCAAAAATAATGAACAGATAACCAAGCAAACAAATCAGTGAATAGTATACTATCTTTGCCTTATGTGAGGAGGAAAATATTCCATTATGGAATTATAATTTGAATAATCTGCTTTCCGTGTTTATTTCGATAGAAAAATTTCATTGGATACTTGTACTACATTTTTTTTTCCTTTCAGAATGCCATCATCCTGAAGCCTCAATTTTTCTCCAGGTAAGCACAGGTACCCTTTCATATAACAATTATGGAAAGTGTTTAACTAATAACACCATTATTCGTATTACGTTGAAAAATCCTAGAAGTATGTTTGAAATCCATTTTTTTCGTACGAATATTCGTAGAAAAAATGGGTTTTCTTGGATGATTCGTATTGGAAGAAGACATATCTAGATGTTCCACATACTTTCATTTTGAGTTTTCTTTGGTATAAAGTTTTTTCCTTAATATGTTTGAAGATAAAAGTTTATTCAGTCTTCGTAATGGTCAAAATAAAAACTCAAGCGTTGTTCATGAACACATAGAAAGTAACTTTCTGTTATTTCATCTGTGTAAATTTCAAATGAATTTCGATTTCAGCACCTACAACAAAAAACAGAACAGAGAAATTACTTCACCTCACATGAATACATTTCTTGCCTCGTGCGCGATTCAAAAGAGATTATTGTTCTTTTTGTTGGTGTTTTATAGGTTAAGATAATTATAGATGCGGCATAAAAGATCGAGAAACTGATTACAATGCTGGTGAATGCTTCAAGCAGTGCCCAATCCGAAGTCGTTTTGTGGTATTTTCAGATTCTAAGTGTTGTTTGTCGATCTTCTTATTCAGAAAACAATAAGCCTAGTCTATGAATATATGTTAGAAGACCCGAGAGACATGATGCGTGACCGAATTTTTCCATCGAATTATTCCAGTGGCTCTCGAGCTATTATTTAGAAAACAGTAAACCTCCTCCAAACCTTGCAACCAGACCAAAATATACGTTATAATCCGATCACGATCTGTGATTCTTTTCGAAACATTCGTAACGTTTTGGAGGTGTTACTCACAAATAATAAATACATATCACGTAAAATATAACATGGTTAGAATCAGGGCATATCTTTCCTGAATATGTTAGAAAACACCTCTCTCTCTCTGACTGATGATTTTTTCTCGGTATTCACTCAAATATATTACTACTTCCTTTATTCAATTTGCATATTTGAACTACAGTCTTGAACTTTTCGTTTGAAAGAGGAAAAAGTGTGACTCTTTTGAATACCGATTAAAATTCACAATAATGAAAAAGAATTTTCAATTATAGAAACATATAAAAAAAAGTAATACAAATTATGAAATCATGAAATAACAACAAAACATTAATTGAAGCTCCGGGGAGATGATTGATTCCACTAACCTGCAACACCACATCATGTGAAGATCTTGATCTGCCAATATCCTATCTCTCATAAAACAAAATGTAAGGTGTCTCCAGAGGCTCCAATAAATTCTAAATATTGCCAAAATATTTAGTGACACTACTATCGTCAAACTCAACCAGTCCATTTCGTCTTTGACCAAGGCGTAATAATGACCGAATTCAACGACAGAACCACAGTAAACAATGACTGCATGAAGATAATAGTGGTCTGCTAGATTGACGTGTTCATCTATTTCGAAAATTCTTTTGGTGCTTCCATCGGAGTTTGAGTCATGTTTGAAGATCATCAGTGTTGTTATAATAAAAATATAACTTGTGGTGTACCCAAAGGATCCATCCTTGGTCCTGTTTTTTCCTTATTTATATCAATTCACTAGCTAATTTGAAACTGAATCGTATAATTGAACTATTTGCTGATGATCTACCATTATATATTTCTCAGACAGTTACGAAAAAATTAAAAATTATATGAATAATGATTTGGATGGAATTCTCATTTGGTTTAATGAACATAAGTTGAAGCTTGATTTCAATAAATGTTCATATATGAATATTTCCCTAAGACTAATCGATTCTTCAAGTAATTCGATTATGTTTGATAAAAATTCTTTTAAATATACAAGGAAAACAAAATTTTTATGTTTACACATTGATGAGAAATTGTCATGGAATGAACATATTGAAGGAATTAGGAAAAAAATATCTCCTCTTATTGGAATTTTTACAAAATTAGAAACTTTATACCTTTGAAATTTTAAAAAAATATATATTTCAGTCTCATTCATTCACAATTGCACTATCTCATTTCTATTTGGGGAACAGCAGCAAACCTCTGAAAACCTTACAAAACAAAATAATAAGAAACAATTATAAATTACCATATTTGGAACCAACATTGAACTTATGTAAGCCAAACCTTTTATTGGACTTGAATTCACTCTATAAACTCAAAATTAGCTGCTTCATTCATTCTGTGAAAAATAATACAAAGAAATCAAACTTAAATCTTATTCCAATTGGACATATTCACAATCATGCCACAAGACAAACCAAATTTTGGTCACAAATTAAGATACAAACCTACCTAGATGATACAATCCTACCAAATTGCAGCTGCATGAACAGGTGTTCCAATCTCATATTCTGTAGAACATTTTCTGGGTTTGACATTCTCTAGTCTTCGCGGTTCATGACTACAGCCGCGAAATTTGGAACAAACATGTATTCTGGTGTCATGGAACCTGAGAACATGTTCATTACTCGTTCTTCCATACATTCCGAAATGTCTATTGTCCGATCCTTTGTAACTCCAGTCTGAGTAAGAAGATATAAAACGATTGAAGAATTTCTCAAATGCAGTTGTAAATGTAATTTTCATTACACCAATTCTTACCAAAAAAGATAGTTTTTATACCCTGCTCAGTATATACTGGACCATCAGATCATAGAGTCCAGTATAGTTTCAGGCCCCATGCCGTTCCTTGGGGTGTATATGGCTATCATCACAGCTACCTCTGCCTTTCTTTTCACTCTTTCTTGATGTTAGTTTGAGGTCTACCTGAGATTTACTATCTATATATTCTATATATTCGACCTCCCCCGATGAATTTATCTCTCAACAATGATATTTTAGAGGTTCTCAGGCCTCTGTGTTGGTGCTCTTGGTGAATGGTTGATTGCAGTGGGTTCATATCGAGTCCTCTGAAAGTCCAGAAAACGTAGTGATTCGTGCTCTTCAAGGTTCTATAACAGTGGTGCAACTCGTGTCACTAATCTTTCTTCCATAATGGTCGTGTATACAAGCTTTCAGTCCAAGCGTGCAATATATCCATCAAGCACTACAGAAAAATCCTTGAGTCGCTCTAAGAATGGTGCCTGTGTGAAATTAGTGAAACTGGAGACTGAATCCATTTGGACGTTTCCAGGAAGTTTATTCCACATAAACGCAGTTCTTCAACTGATAAAGTTCTTGAACAGTGAAGTTCGAGGAACCTGAGTTGAACCTCAAAACGATGAGCAGTCACAATCCGTCGCATATTTCTGGTGAAATCAAATGTGCCCAGTCACTTGACCACTTCTCATGAAAAGTATCTATAAAAGAAAGACAAATCTTCAACATCTTCGATGTTCCAGACTATCAAGGTTGCAAGTGATGTTCTCAACTCCAATCAGGCGGATGACTCTTTTCTGGATGGAATCCAGCAGCTCCAGGGTATTTTTAGAGAACAATACTTCGAAGAAGGTCTGATCTGAGCTTTATAAAACATAAAAATTTGCTGAGGTGTGTACAGTTTTATGGACTACAACTACAAAAGATGTTCAAAAAAAGCCCTTGAGTGAAAAGTTTCACATATCTATCACTCATCACATCCCATCGATTTCCTTAATATATATCGAGACAAGTAGAAAGTTACGGTTTCTCAAATTACATTCGATGGTCGGAATCGGCCTAATAATAGTGATTTTCGAATATGCTACAATTATTAAGAATTGTGTAAAGTAACCGACGTTTCTTTTCTCCTCTAATTTTATCATTAGTCATTCCTATCGGCATTTTTGTATTTATTCTCGATGGCTGCCTATAATTTCGAGCATGGTTCGGTCGATATCTCATTTCATTTGTCTGCCATTGCGAGACTTTGTTGAGTTATGACCATTTTTATTTCATAATTTGATATTTGATACAGATTCAGTTCGTGACTGGATCTGAACCGTTTCTATTATAATTTAACGGTGGTACATGGTGATAAATATGTCTGGTATGGCTTGTAACTCAACAGCTTCATATCTACGTCCAAATTGAATGTTCGGCTTGATCTATCACTTCTATATTTATCAGTAGCGTAACAAGTTTTCGGGAGTCCGGGTTGAAATTTGTCTGCCTTTGTGTAGCCAAGTAACATGATGAGACGTTTATTCTACATTGTACAGTATTCGTTTTGAAGATTATACTAAATGTACCTGTCTATACTAACTATAGACACGTACAGAAAATATTACAATGAAATGTTATTCTTTTCGTTAAATACCGGAGTGTGTTATTCATAATGATTCTGTAAAATACACAGGCAGAATGGAGAAATCCTTTTTTCGTCACATCTAGCCATTTTTTAGCGGAGTTATGAGATATGCGTCACCGTTTTCTGATTCCATAAATAAGTCGTAGACATGTGTTTTGCATCTCTTGTATACGGCATCATCAGCATCAATATAAGGTCAATATAAAGTACTAGAAGTAATTTATAGGAAGTTCTTGAAAACAATAATTAATAAACTATCCCGTTATTCTAGTCACAAACTTTATGAAAAAATTAGTATACTTGATTTGACACAGCTCTTCTACAGAACTCTTGCGTTATGCCAACGCAAGTTAATAAATACATTGACCAAGCCTGAACATGAACACAATGTGGAGTTTGGTAGAAAAAGCAGTTTCGTATGAAGTGCTTGTACTTTTACAGCGCAAGTTAGTGTTAGGAATGTTTTCGTTCCAGCAATGGCGGACTGGCTTCACAATAAATACCTTCTGCAATAAATTACTAGGTCGTTGGCATATAGTCTTCTTTTCACTAGAAGAGAGCTATTTTTCATCCCGTCATTGATAGCAACCATAAATAGATTAGAACTCATAACAGAACCTTGGGGTATTCCGCATTCGAGGGACACTTCATTGAAATTTTTCCGTTCGTGTCTGAAGGACAGAAATTATTCAGTGTTTTGGGACCGATTGCCTTCAACTCTTTACCTGATAACACAAAAAACTGTAAATCATTTTTAAAAATGGAAAA